TCTCTTGACCAGGGGCTTGGTCTTGTCCTCCTAACACAAGGGCATAACCTGCCACAGGATATCAATATATTCCAATTCTTCAGTTCACAGCTGAATTCTACACTAATAATTCTGCACTGACATCTCAGATTTGAAAACTCTTTGCTTGACTGTCACATTCTAAGTGACTAAAACATGCCTGTTAAAATTTCTTACAGGTTCAGAGTCCTAAGTCTTGCTGAGCACACTATGCAGAATCAGTGATAAGGAACCGAGTTCAACCCTTACTGAAGAGGAAGAGCGACATCAACGCAGTTAGTTACCCTCGGAAACTCAAGATTTCTTTACATACGTGATCAGGTTTTACATTTGTGCAAGAAAACACCGGGCCACCAGATTCCAAGCTTCATAAATATATATACAAAAATGTCATTTATAATATTTTCACCACAAAGTCATCAGTGCAAATATAATTATATCAATAAAAAATAAAGCAATTTCAAGTATAAAAAGCACCATGCTCGGAAACAATACTACCTAAATGGTATTACTGCACAACAGTCAAAATATAGTTGAACCTATCACTGAGAATCTCAAATATATTATTAATCCATTGTATTTTTGGTGAAATTCTTTATATAGCTTCACAGGATGATTCATAATCATAATAGGTATAAAGTTTAGATTATAAGTTTCTGTAAAAATATACTCTTCACTTCTCTCTGACCTTGAACAATTTATAGTATGTATGAGATAGGCAAAATCTGAGCACTGGTCTGCAGACGGTTACTCTAGGTTAAATGTCCCTTATCTGAAATGCTTGGGAGCAGAGTGTCATGGATTTTGGATTTTTTTGAATTTTGGAACATTTGCCTATACATAATGAGATATCTTGGGGAGGAGATCCAAGCGTGAACATGAAATTCACTTATGTTTCACATATACTTTATATACATAGCCCAAAGGTAATCTTGTACAATATTTTTAATAATTTTGTGCATGAAACAAAGTTTGTGTTAAGTACTTATGTGTGGAATTTTCCAATTGTGGTGTCATGTTGGTGCTCAAAAAGTTTTGGATTTTGGAGCCTTCTGGATTTCAGATTTCTGGATTAGAGGTCTGGAACGACAAGCTATATTGGCTTCTCCACAGCTGAAGTTGACTAAGTTTGAGACTCCCAGTTTTTTACAATGACAAATACCTCCAATTTAGAACTGCATGCAAATACGTACTTTTAAATTTGTACATTTTTTTAAAAAGTGACTTTTCTTTATGTTGGGGGCCGATATTTGGCTCCAGTGCCAAATAGTCAGTTGGAATTCTTTTTTTTCTTTTTAAGAGATGGGGTCTTGCTGTATCATTGGTCTCGAACTCCTGGGCTCAAGCCATCCTCCCACTTCAGCCTCCCAAGTAGCTGAAGTATAGGTGTGAGCCACCATGCCTGGCTCCAGAATTAATTCCTAGTAATTATGCTGCTTTGCTCACTTAGCACAATTTCTTAAATGGAGTACTCAATAACTATATGCTGCCTGAAAAGAAGAGAGGGAGGGAAGAAGAGAGGGAGCTTGTCCAACGGTTGTGTTTATATGCCGCAGGACTTCATTAGCTTTAAAGAGAAAATCTGGGCATTGCCCATCATTAAAGAATTTCAAATTGGAATTAGTTAATGGGGTTGGTAAGCTCTGGTCCCAGAGTATAATTGCTTCTGTGGCCCAGAATCTATGTAGTGACAGAAGGCGTGTCAAATGCAGGAGGTAAAGGATATTCAAAGCAAAGGCAGTCTTCCAACTTCTGTGGACTGAGCCTTATGTTATGTGGTAAAGTGGGCCCTACTGGATAGGCTCTACACCAACCTACACTTTGCTATTAGTAAACAACTCACACTTATATTTTTCTGATTATATGTAATTTTCAGATATTAGCAACTCTTCTGTAACAATTTCTTAGCACACTTGAAAATAATGCCATACCTGCTATACCAGAATTTCTTTTTATCTTCATTGGTCAAAAAGGAATAGTTCTGTTTTTGTTGGATTACAGGTGTTGTAACTGTAAAACAGTTACAATCTGAAAAACATAATAATTGTTTTCTTCTGTTTGCATGTCTTCAATATTATTACGGGGCAGGATATTTTACTCTCTGCGTCCACATTTTTTCAAGTCGTTGTGAAACGAATGGAGAATACAACTGGAAGGCTGAGCTCTGACCATCAGTGAGTACAGAGGGCTACGACACAGGACAACAGTTCAGTAGTAAACTGCCACACGGCTGGCAAAAAAAGGCAAACATGGTTAAATCATAAGATTTAACAAAACATCATTTCAAAAAAACTCTTTAGAATAAACACTGAGAAGAATGATTTAAGTGTACCATGTAAACCCATTACGTTTCAAATGGGTACAATAGTGACACAGAAATCCCAATTCAGTTATCTTCTGTAAATCAAAGGACAATTTCTAGTTTTGAGGACAAGATCCACAACTTACAATCTTGCAATAACTAGTTGTTGTTTAAGTTAATGCAGTATTTATGATGAACTCTCCCATCGTTTCAGGTTCATGAAAATGCTGAGGTATGTAATCACTCTGAAAATTCCACCAATTATCCCACTTTCAAAGGAAAACTTCAGGAAGATTATGCATCCTGAAAAATATGTAATTTTAGTGACTTGAAATTCCTTCTTCTTCTCTAAGCTCTGAGGTGGTTGGGTTGCTGATGAGGAGTGACCGCTTTGCTTCGAGGTCTGATTGTGGCCAACACTTCCCAGCCAAAGTCAGGAATGCCACTTCTGCCATCTGCACAGGTTGGCACACACCCACACGTTGTGCTTTGTTCACGGGAACATGACATAAAGGAATATCTTGAGAATTCACTTTGGCATTCCTAGTGCCACACACACAGAAGGAATCCAGCCAGCAGAGGAAACAGATTGCCTAGCAGAAGCCAGAGGGTGACCACCAAATTAGAGGAACGGGAACAGAGATCTGGAATTGAAAACAAAAAATTGACTCTCTATAGCCATTTTTGGGATAAATCATACCAGCTAAATATTGACAGACGAGGACAGCCTAGTCAACAGTAGCTTCCTAAATCTATTTATTACCACTGAACTGTACACTTAAAAATGGTAAACATGGTAAATTATATGTGTGTATTTTACCTCAAGAAAAACACTTTTTATTAAAAGAGTGACTTCCTGAAACCCAGATCCGCAAAGTTTTTTTTTAATATATATTATGGAGGAAGAATAGAATATATACAGAGGAAAAAAAGATGTAACCACCATGTCAAGGTTAAAAAATGGCCCCCAGGAAAAGAAAAAAGTGTCTTAGGGTAGTATCCCAACAAAGCTAAAGATGAATAAAAAAAATTAGCCGGGCATGGTGGCACACGCCTGTAGTGCCACCTACTCGGGAGGCTGAGGTAGGAAGATTGCCTGAGCCCAGGAATTCAAGGTTACAAGGAGCTATAATCAGGTCACTGCACTCCAACCTGGGTGACAGAGCAAGATCATGTTTGGGGGAAAAAAAAAAAAAGTAAGGATGATACACAGGAAAGTAAATGAACATCTTGGCTCTTCTGAGATGGGATGAAGAACTTTATTATTCTTTTATGTCCCTTCTAACTAAGGTGACCATATAATTTAGCACTCCAAACTAGTACTGTTTTTGTTTTTTTTTTATTTTGAAACAGAATCTCACTCGATTGCCCTGGTTAGAGTGCAGTGGCATCATCATAGCTCACTGCAACCTCAAAGTCCTGGGCTCGAGTGATGTTCCTGTCTCAGCCTCTACAGGCGCACACCATGACACCTGGCTAATTTCTTCTATTTTTGGTAGAGACCGGGTTTCGCACTTGATCAGGCTGGTCTCGAACTCTTGGCCTCAAGTGATCCTCCTGACTCAGCCTCCCAGAGTGCTAGGATTACAGGCATGAGCTACCGTACCCGGCCACCAAATTAGTACATTTTGAAAATACAAGGGAACACTATTAATAATTATACCAGGACAACAGGCACATGGACTCTCTTGGGCAAATCAGGATATATAGTCCTATTTCTAAATATCTACCCATCCATCCATATTACCTCAGGCTTGCTTTGGAAATAGCAGAAAATTCTATGAGCTTTGGGCACTAGAGGCATGTTTTAATTTAGCCATGAGCTATTATCATACGTAAACTATTTCCCAAAATAATTCTCCTGATGGAAATATTTTTACAGCAATAGAAAGATGAGGCCAAGTTGACCTTATTTTAGGATGAGTTGTCCTTTTTAATATTTTGAACAACAAAGATGGGTCTTTAAAGATCAACCAAGGTTCAAGTCTAACTTGTTTAAAAACATAAGAAAAACAGGGCTGGTCTTCAGCTACAGAATGATGAACAGAATGATAGTATCAAGGCATTGCAGCCTGCTCTTTGAGCACTATACGGTGTGGAACATTAATTTTCTTAAGAGACAAGGTCTTGTTCCATCATCCAGCCTGGAGTGTAGCAGCCCAAATGTATCTCACTGTAACCCTGAAGCATGGGGTCAAGTGATCCTTCCATCTGAGCCTCCTGAATGGGTGGGAGTACGGGGTGCACCCCACCACACCAGGATAATTTTTTTAAGAAAGGGAGTCTCACTATCTTGCCTAGGCTGGTCTTGGACTTCTGGCCACAAGTGATCCTCCTGCCTCCCAAATTGTTGGGATTATTACAGGTGTGAGCCACTGCGCCTAGCCTGGAACAGTATTTTAAAAAGTTATTTCACTGCATGTAATCCAGTTAACCCATGGAAACTTCTATTTTTCCCCAGTGGAATCAACTTATATTTGTTACAAATGTGATTTTGTTAGTATACAAATTCTATGAATAGCCAATTTATTAACAGCTGAGAACAGTGCTTCTCAAAGTGTGACCCCTGGACTAACAACATCAGTATCACTTGGGAACTTGTTAAAAATGCAAATTATCAGGCCCCAACCCAGAACTTCTCAATCAGAAACTCTGGAGGTGAGGCCCAGCAATCTGTGTTTTAACATGATTCTGACACATGCTAAAGTTTGAGAATCTCTGACCTAGAGCTGCAAGGTCCAATGTGGTAGCTACTAGCTTTATCTGCTATTTAAAATCAAATAAAAGCAAAAATTTGGTTCCTGAATCACACTATCTGCATTTCACATGCACTATAGTCACATGTGGCTAGTGACTATTGTATTGGACAGTGCAAATTACAGAACATTCCCATCACCCCAGAAAATCCTATTCAACACATTCTGGTCTAGAGCATTAAATTAGGTCTTACCTGGAGTAAGGAAAGGACCCTGGTGTCACTAACATAGGCATGTCCCTTTATCTCCTGATTCTCAATTTGGCCCAAAGGAAACAGGCAGGAGAGCTAGCTATTGTTTATTCACTGTTGGTACTAAAATCTAACAAGCTATTAAAACATTAATGACAGCTCACTTGTCTTTGTCATGCTTCAAGGGTGTCAACTTCATCAATTCATAGCCCCTTGACCTGGTATCCCTTTCTCTTCATTCCTGCACATTCTTCTGTACTCCTAAGAGTCTCACCCTTCAACCAGCTGGAGGTAATTCTCTTTATCTCAACTCTAAGCGCTAATTGTCTGGATCCCTGCTCATCTCTTTGGCAACAAGATGGTGATAGTTTCTTATAGTTAAATCTAAGATTAGGTCTGCGGATGGCAACTCCATTAAAACCATCTAGTATTTATGGACCAGTAGAGCCCTCTAATTCTACTCAAAGCAATTTAACAAAAATAACAAAATAAATTGATCCTACCAGCTTCCCATTCAAAGTAAAAGTTAACTGAGCATCTGTAACACTACATTTACTGTATACCACATCAAACAACCTAAGATTTTACATTATTTCAAATAATTCATTGTATTATTACTATTGTAACTGCAGAAAACTCTGCTGATTCACTGGAGTACTGTGCAGAAAAGACTTAACATAGCAGGCCTGAGACTACTATCCTTAGAAAGTTCTGTTTGCAAGGCTGGCTCTTAGCTGGTATCGGGGAATTGGTTTCCTCAGAACTTGGCCCCATGAATCTTTTCCCTTTGCTGATTTTGCTTTGCATCCTTTTGCTTTAACAAATCTTAGCCATGAGAAGGACAAGGAGCTGAGTCCTGTGAGTCCTTTAGTGAACCAACAAACCTGGCGGTGGTCTGGGGGACGCCCAACTCAAGTACTAATCTCCACTTATAGTCCCCTGGGGGGACAAAACCCCTAGGATTTTCAAAAGAAAGGAAGTTAATCTTAGAGGTGAAGAAACTTTAACTTGAAACTGAATGTAGCCTTCTATTTTCAACTAGAGCAGGGAACAGGCAAAGGGTGATGCAGTTCCATTTAAAAAATATTTCCAGTTGAGAAAACAAAATATTGCATAAGATTTTTGTTGTTCATATTAAAAACGTCAAAATTCCATAAAATCTCATAGATCATTTAAATCAAAGCTTTTATTGAGAATTTATGAATTCTGCTTTTATAACTCTTAGCAGTGGGTCATTAGACTCAGTCTGAATATCTCCAATTATGGGGAGTGCATTCTTCTCCAGGCTGTCCTTTGCATTCCCCTCCTAGTTCTAAAGGATTTAATTGGAATCCGTCTCCTTACAACTTCAATCTCTTGGTCCTAATTCTACTCTCCAGTGTCTTACGGAATGAGTATACTATAATGTCCCTCAATGAAAACCCCCCTGTCTTTGCCAGCCTATGTCTTTCTATCTCACTCTGTGTGTATTTATGTCTCTTTATATCTTTCTCTTCTTTATGGTTCTGTCAATTCCTTTTTTGAGTATCTTTTCCAGTGTCTTTCCTTCACTTTCATTTCAGCTGGTTATGATATAACTAAAAAATACTTAATTGCTTTTTTTATTTAATGAGCAAAATTTTGTTTACTCTTAATTTCCAAATGAATGGATGAAACATTCATTTTTTGTAACTTTCAATGAATAATTTTGTGTAACTCGGAGGTTCTATACAAAGAAAGGTTCCTTCCTCTTGCCCTTACTGAATCTGAATGTCAAATTTACCTTCCTTAGATTTCTAACAACTGGGACGGAGGATTTTTCCATAAAACTCCCATCAGAAGAAATGAATCTCAACTTGTTGTAGAGTTCCCTTAAAGTGGATTTTCAACATCTTGTAAGAAAAGTCCTCCTCTTTACTTTTTCCTCTTTATTCCAACCACAGAGAGTACTTACCCAGTGGTAGAGCTCGGGTCAGGTTAGTAGCTGGAGGATCTGTTTCTGGTGGACAGAGCTCACAGAAGTCCCAACACGATGGACAGAGCAGGTTTCCATCATGAATCCAGCCATTCATCTGAATACTGACAGGGAGGACCTGCCCAGCTCGACTACACAAATATGAAGTATCTTGGACCCAAACATTCAGACCTTGAGGTGAACAAGAAACCTTCAAATAGAAAACAACAACAAAAAATCAGGTAAGATTCTATAATATAAGATTTATCCTTCAACTGCAGGAAATTGTGTTAAAATTTACTAAAACTGGCCAGGCATGCTGGCTCACGCCTGTAATCCTAGCACTCTGGGAGGCTGAGGCGGGTGGATCACTCGAGGTCAGGAGTTTGAGACCAGCCTGAGCAAGAGCGAGACCCCGTCTCTACTAAAAATAGAAAGAAATTAGCTGGATAACTAGAACTATATACAAAAAATTAGCTGGGCATGGTGGCACATGCCTGTAGTCCCAGCTACTCGGGAGGCTGAGGCAGGAGGATCCCTTGAGCCCAGGAGTTGGAGGTTGCTATGAGCTAGCCTGATGCCACGGCACTCCAGCCTGGGCAACAGAGCGAGACTCTGTCTCAAAAAAAAAAAAAAAAAATTTACTAAAACTATTGGCTATACAATACAATGTGGGATATAGGCATATCTTTAACCTCATATAAAGAGAGTTATTTAGGGTCTAAAAGAATTTCACTCTGTGGCAGTAATTCTTAAAGTTTGAGTCTAGCACCTTTTTAAGAATCTGATGGAAGCTATGGACACTTTTCCTGAAAAAAAAAAAAAATATATACAAGGGAGCACACACACAGTGCTTTAAATACAATCTGAATTCACAGACCCCTGAAGCAAAGTTATAGAGAATAACATTTCTGTAAATTTCAGTATCCTCATATACTTCAGCTTAAATCTCTATCAAATAGCCATCAATCATGTCACTCTCTCAAGTCACTAATTTTTTTTTTTTTTGAGAAGGAAAGGAGGTTATTAATTTGTTGGCAAGTGAGGAGGCTAGCAGACTCTTGTCTCAAAGTACCAACATTCTGCCTCTGAGCAAAAGCACAGAGTTTTAAAGGTTCTGATTAATCCCATAATCCCATCTTTGGCTAAGATAATCTCCTGACCTCTGCCTGGATTCATGCTATCTTCAGCTAAGACAATCTCATGACCTCTGCCTAGGCCATTCCCCCAAGCTACCTCCTGTGGCACAAAGAACAAAGGACACTCTCCTGTCCCTCCTCACTACTGGCCTGAGGCAGGGATGTAGGTTTTAGTTCTCAAAAAGGGTGAGGGGGTTTTGAAGAGACAGAAAGCACTTTTTACCCCTTTTCAGGACATTTTCTCTGTTACATATTCCCCACTGTCAATTTTATCCTTTCATATCTCTGAGAGAAGGGGTGATGTAATCATTAAACTACTTCTGCTGAATTGGGGTGATGTTGTAGATGGAAAGTACATATTATCAGGTGAAAAAGGGCATAAGCAATAATTACAACTGTGAGGACTGACAAGGTGAAATGGACTGTTGCCTTGCACACAATGTCTAATACAGGGATGGATAAGAAAGAAACACAGGACCTGTGAGTGAGAAGCTATTAGTTGAACGCTGTTAGGTGATCCGAAAGATTGGCTTCTGTAAATTCAGAAATCATGTTCAGAAATACTTGTACCAAATGAGGTTTAGGATAATACACCCATCAGCAAGACAGATCAACAGAAAAGGTGATAGCCTGGGGATATCCTCACTAAGGAGTTGTCCCTCTAATCCTACAGATGGAACAAATAACCAAAGGAAGATTAGTGAAAATAATAACATTTTTATTTTTTTCTTTTTCTCACACTGATACTTAAGATCACCTAAGGGGAGTCCCCCCACTGGGGGCTACACCTCTTTACTTTGGTATGATGGAACCAAGATTTCACTTCTATTAATAACAATTTTAACGAGGTATGAATTGTTAGAGGCACTTCATAAGGTCCCTTTCACTTTTCTGTTTCCAACTGAGGCAGGGACCTGAAAAAGGCAAACTCATGTATAGTGGTTAGCACCTAACCCACTCATTTGACATATTATTTTATTCTACTTTCTTTTACTCATGGTTATATTACCATACTTATCTTGGGACACTAGGAAGGGCCTCTCGTAAACTATTTTTTTAGGGGCTTAACTTAAGCCTGCTTCTAAAGGGCTACCCTTATCCAGAGGAGGGCAAGTGGCAATACCTTATCCCATTTTAGGTGGGTTCCATGTAGTTTCCATTCTAGATGTAGGGCTTTGTTTACTTGCTGGGTTACCTCCACTACAAAGGAGGGTCCATTATTGCTCTGTTCAAAGGAGCCTATGAACATTCTGATGACCTGTGGGATCATTGAGTCCACCATGTCCAGCTTTTTGGAGAAACGGTTCACCAGGTTCCCACTTGGGGGCCACTCAAAAAAGTTTATGGGCAACCAGAGGGCATTGTGCAGTAGATACAGGTGTAGACAGCAGGAAGCAAAGATTCCCCCAATGGCCACTGCCATGGAGTAGCCAAACATGGTGATACCTTGAGCTGTCAAGCTGTCTCTATAGCCGTCTGTCTACAGCCTCCATCACCAGCATGTTGTTTTCCATTTGCTTGGCCTCTTTCCCTGGACTGTTGATGCCTGTCATCCCATCATCCTCCAAGGCCTATTCCTACACACGTGCAGGAACTCGATGAAGGCCCTGTCAGCTCCTGGTAGGAGCCCAACTCTGAGTGAGTTCCTCCAGAAGGACTCCAGTAACCTCAGACACTCCTTTCTTTCCTCCAGGTAGGCCAAGCCTCTACCCAGCCTGAAAAGGTATCTACCAATATAAGCCTAGGCATCTGAGTAAAACTGCCAGTCATCAAAAGGGTGGACCCCCACATGCTGGGCTCCCTGTGTAGTGGGTTGCCTTTTTGTCCTTGGACCGCCCCAAGTACATAAACAGTTAGTTGTAAACGGGGTCCTCTCAAATGAGGTCCCACCAAATCCATCAAGGCATCACACTCCCAATGTGTGTATTTATGTAGGTGCCTCACAAGAGGCCGAACCAAAGCTTTGGGTAGCAGACAAGTCTATGAGAATTCTATTTCCATTTAGTTGTGCCATCCCAAATGTCAGAGACCCAGTCTTTAGTTTTAAAGGGGATCCAAATCTAGCCAGGGTATCAAGGCCCCGAGGAAGAGATCACCTCTAGCAACCTTCTTAGCAGCTCTACCAGCGGCCTGATTTCTTTTTGTCATGCTGGCCACCTGTTTGGGCTCAGCCACGGCCTGTATTAGGGCCATTACTTTGGTGGCATACATAATATCTTTACTCACTTTAGGTAGTTTTCTTCTTGCCAATGCTGTAATCATGAGTAGGCTTGCTGAGGCCCAAACTTCCTGTATATTTCAACAGGCCCTGGTATTCATCCAGCAGGAGCTTGGTGGTGCCACCCTGGAGGTGAGCTTCTGCTTCTTCTGAAACAACTCCTGGTACTCCTGCTGCTTATCCAGGTCTGCCTCTTGGGCCTGCTGTGACAAGTTTCTCAGCTGCCACTTGTCTATGGCTGCCCCATTGCTACCTAGCCCCTTCCCCGCCATCCCTTGTCTGGCTCACAGAGCACCAGGCACGGCTGGTGCCAAGAGTCAAGGATCGGGGTGGTGGCCGGGGCAAGGGGTCCCCAGACTGCTTCTGTCCATGCAGCTAGTGCCAATCAAGTCCCCATTGTCAATTTTGCCCAGGGCTCCTGTGGGGATATTTGGAGGCAGGGGGCTCTGGGCTCCCTCCTTCGCCTTCTGAGTCCTAGACTTAAAAAAACTATTTGCTCTCCTGGAGGCTTCCTGCCACCCAGAGTCTTTTGCAATTTTGGGCCATGTTCCTTTCAAGGTCCTTCTTCTTCACAAAAAGTCAGTCTGGGGTGGCTTTTTCGCCTTTTCCTTTTTACTGTCCCAAAGGACCCTGCTGGCTATTCTTGCATACTCAAGCTCTCTAATCTGATATTGCCAGAAATTACCCTGCTACAGCTAGGGGTTCCCTTTGGCTGAAATTGAGTTTGCTGCTAGGAGAGACCATTCCAATCCCCGAGTCATAATTTACTGGGCATGGGACTGAAGAGGCACTTTAGGTAGTGCCCTCCTTGGCCCCTCCCATGGTGCCAAGATGGTGGCAGCAGCAGGTGTTCCTTGCCCTTTGCTGTGTGCCGCTCAGCAGCAGGCCATGTGCACTGGTCCTCCCTCCTGCCAGGTCTGCCCCTGGGCTGTGGCCCTACCCAGCGCCTCACCCTGGCCAGCTGTGGGGGTTCTGGCAGGAGGACCTCATTTATCGAAAATCACACAAACACAGATCATTTTGTCTACCATAAACAATGGTCGATTGTTTGAGATAAATTATCTCAAGCACAGAACTTGAGATGCAACATTTTTACTCTATAGTGGCAGGTTGACCATTAGAGCTCTGAATCTTAAAAGAACCAATAGCTCAGGATATACCACAGACCATCAACCATCACTTTTCCTTGCACTCCAGACAAATGGTATCACAATAATCTTTAGACATAGGTACAAACACTAACCAGACAAAAACTCATAAACAATATAGGAATTCCCAACACAAATAATCTAAAATGCCATGGCCTATCAATCGAATAGGAATTTTTCATTTAACAGCCACTTCTCAAACTCCAGCACGTACACTGGATTACAATAACACCATTCTCTTTACATATAGGTTCATAGCTAGAAGTTAACCATTCAGCCGATGTTTTTCCCAAGGGTATTTGAGATGGAGCTTCCTTATGTTGCAACAAAACTCACAATAACAGACAATACAGGGGATACAAAAATACCAGGGCCTATCAAGCGAATGGGAATCCAAAGGGGACAAATGCCACCTCCAAACGGTGCCTCAAATGCCCTGCCACAGGGCTAGAAGATTCACAAATGGGAATCCAAAGGGAATAAATGCCACCCCAAATGGGTAGAAGGTTCAAAACCCTCCCCAAATGGTGGCCTAGACCCCCTGTTCCCTGGGAACCACAAAAAAGCTCCAAATTTAAACCAAGTTCCCTAGTTCCACTCAACCTCATGACTTCCACCCCCAAAAGGTGTCTCAAAACAAATACTCGATAAGGCCCCAAACAAATGCCCTGCCACAGGGCTGTTCCCAGCTTTGTTCACCAAGACAGATGGGAAATAGCTACACCTCAATGGCAATGAGCAGTACATTTAAGCACCCAGATCTTGACCTCTAAATATACACTCCACTAAAAATAACTGGAACTCCTTCTTTTTCACACTGAAGGAGATCAGAGACAAGATAACTAAATGTGACATGTGATATTAGATCAGATCCTACTGCCAAAAAGATGATTGGGAATGGGTGCAGTGGCTCATGCCTGTAATCCTAGCACTCTGGGAGGCTGAGGAGGGAGGATCGCTTGAGGTCTGGAGTTCAAGACCAGCCTAAGCAAGAGCGAGAACCCATCCCTACAGAAAATAGAGGACGTGCGTGGTAGTGCACGCCTATAGTCCCAGCTATTTGAGAGGCTGAGATAGGAGGACTGCTTGAGCCCAGGAGGTTGAGGTTGCACTAAACTATAATGATGCCACTGCATTCTTGCTAGGGTGACAGAGCAAGACTCTGTTTCGGGAAAAAAAAAAAAAAAATCATTGGGGCAACTGGTGAAACTTGAATGAGGTCTTGAATATTTGTGTCCTTTCCCTCTTCTACCATGAAGACACAACTAGAAGGTGCCATCTGTGATCCAGAAAGTTGGCCCTCACCAGACACTGAACATGTCAGTGCCCTGATCTTGGACTTCACAGCGTGCAGAACTGTGACAAATACATTTCCGTTGCTTATCAGCTACTCAGTTTATGGTATTTCGTTACAGTAGCCTGAATGCACTAAGACAGTGTATGAGACTTATATGTATCAATGTTAATTTCCTGTTTTTTTAGTAGTAGTGTAGTTATGTAGGAGGATATCCTTTGTTTATAAGAAATAGCATTAAAGTATTTAGGGATGAAGGGGTAGCATGTCTGCAACTTGTAGTGAAATGGCTCAGAAAAAAAAATTGTATCACTCCTGCAATTTTTCTGTCAAAATAAGAAAAAAACCCCTCAAAAGTAAAATAGCTAATTCATATGTTAATTGTTAAGAAATCAAACATATTTTCTCCACATAAACAGTGCTTACTACTAAATTAGCAAAATTATCTGACAACACAAGGTATAGGAAAACAAAGTAAACTCAATCTTTGCAGATGGTATTTAAATTTGTATAATCCCTTCACAGCAATGGGGGGTTGATAAAACATTAAAAGAGTCTGAAAAGGTCACGCTCCTATTGTAGTTGTCACTGTTCTAGTTTCATCCCCTTTCACGTAATATTCTCAACTTATGGAAATTTATTTCAGAAAGTGAATTTTAAAAAGTAAAATATGTAAACATAAAAGCATTTTTAAATGGTAAAAAGGGAAAATAAACTCAGTATATAATAGGTAAGTGACTTTCCTAATTATAATATTTTAATATGATGCAATGTTCCATCAATGTTACTAACAACAGAATTATTATTTTAGAAAAACTTGGAAAAGGTGTTTTGTCCCCCATAAGAAGTACTAAGTGAGGTCAGTAAAACAAAATTATGTAGTATGATTACAATTGGGTTAACACTATATATTTAGTCAATATAAACATCTTTAATAGAATTTATTGAAAAGTGATTTGATAGATTACAGTATCAGATTACAGCTGGAAAATGTTTATTTCTAATTGTCTTTTGTAAGATTCAAAAGCTGATTTTATATAAATCATACGGTGTGTAAAATAGATCTCAATAAAGTTGTTACCAAAGAAAAAGTTAAAAATACGAAATTTCCAATTACAAAAGTCCCTTTAGCTCCTGCAGTTGAAATGGCACAAGGAGTGCTTATTCTTCGGTTCTCAGGATCATACTCTCCACCCTGACATCCATTATAGGGTGTGGAATATTAAGTTGGATTCTCAGAGAAATGATATAAACATTAAAAAAAATTAAAAACAGTTGGATGCTCCTAAGTTACAGAATCCCTGTATCTTGATAAGTTCTTACTAAGGTGATGCGGTCATTTAATATCAGATGTGCAAACAAGATAATTAAGAAAATTATATTTTGCATCCTTTAGATTTCTAATTTCAAAGGAAACAACCTATTATTAATTAGCAATTGATTAAATCTTACAACTTGTGCATTCTTCAGAACTTTTGAAATAAAATTGCGCATTTTTTCCATTACAAATATTTGCTCAATAAAATTACATATTTAACACTATTTCCTTACAATATATGCCCAGAAATAAATTATAAAACCTACTGATATATCACAACTATATACATTTTTAAACAAATGAAAAGAAACAATTTTTCTCAAAGAAATGACAATATTTTCACAAGACATGAGCATCCAAACTAATATTTACATAAATGAGTTAAATTATTGATCAGTAAATTAACTACATGAAAATATATATTTTAAAATACAAAAACCATAAAAGAAAAAAAATACATAACATATGGTATAATTAATAACATATAGTTTACCTGATAACATCCACTTCCCCAGTCTGGATAACTCAGCTTCCTCTCACACTTTTCCATGACAAATGCGGATTTCTGAATTAGACACACTGAATGAGGTCCATACTTTTCAGCACCATAGTTTTTAAAAATTTCTAAAGTAAATCAAAAAATTCTCCTTAATAATTGATTTTTGGCTCAAAGAACAAGCATTCCCTGTTTATGATTAAAAGTTGCTTTAAAAATTAAATGTGTTTAATGGAAATTTTAAATTAAAAAAAATTAAGATAAATAGGACTTCAAACTCAAACTGGGTTCTCAATAAAGGGATTAGTGGGAGAAAATTACTGTATCAGAAGCAAGGGGAAAAAACTGGGCCCAAAGTTATCTTGGTTAGATATACAGAGGAACTGGCACTAAGAATTACTAGATCGCCAGGAGTGGTGGCTCACGTCTATAATCCCAGCACTTTGGGAGGCAGGAGGAGAACATCAAGCCAGGAGTTTGAGACCAGCCTGGGCAACACAGCGAGACCTTGGCTCTAAAAAAAAAAAATCACTAGATATCAAGATAAGAATCACCTTCACTGGTAGTCTAAATAGGAGTCACCTCCAAGTGAC